GAGCCATCCTTCCTGAGCTAAGACAAAAATGTGCGAGTCGGATGCTAAAAAACAGTGAGCTAGCTCACACTAACTTAGCTTAGAGGAAACACTGGCCAGCAGTGTTCCCTCTCAGCCAAGACTGAAGGTCAAAGAAGACGGGGAGGGCAAAGGATGAGATGGTTAGACAGTGTCATAGATACAACAAACATGAAGTTGAGCAAGCTTCAGAGGACGGCGGAGGACAGGAGGGCCTGGAGAGATCTTGTCCATGGGGTCGCGAAGAGTCGGACTCGACTGCGACTGAACAACAAACACACATTTCTGTCTTGGCTCAGGAAGGATGGCTCCAGAGCAAACTAGTTGATGCAGCGGCCGAATGGCTCGCTCGCAACTTTAATGCCGGTAGCTCACAAAGTAGAATTTTGCTCACAAGACTGCACAGCTTAGAGGGAGCATTGCTGGCCAGTAGCCCTCTTGCGACAGCACAGCTTCAGGGGTAACCCACCACCAGACCAATTTTAGAAACCAATCGGGTAATACGGATCTTAGCTCTGACCTGGATGGCCCAAGTCTTGGCTGTCTCTTGCAACGGCACAGCTTCAGGGGTAACCCACCACCAGATCAATTTTAGAAACCAATCGGGTAATACAGATCTTAGCTCTGACCTGGATGGCCCAAGTCTTAGCTGATCTTGTCAGATCTCAGAAACCAAACAGGGCTAGCCCTGGTTAGCGCCTCGAAAGGAGACCACTGGAGAAGTCCAGAGTTGCTATGCAGAGGCAGGCCATGGCAACCCACCTCTGTGGGTCTCTTGGCCTTGAACACCCCCGGGGCCACCATAAGTCAGCTGAGACTTGTTGGCACTTTTCACCAACACTCATATGGATCTCATGGAACATCAGAAGAGTCCAGGTGGATCAGACCAATGGTCCATCCAGTCCAAGAATTCAGCAAACTACAGGAGGGGGTGGGGAGAACATCAGAAGAGTCCAGCTGGATCAGACCAGTGGTCCCTCTAGTCCAGTATCCTGTCTCACACAGTGGCCAACCAGTTCCTCTGGACGGCCAACAACAGGGCAGAGAGGCCAAGGTTTCCCCCTGAGATTTCCTCCTGCCTCTGGGATTTAGAAGATTAGTGCCTCTGAATGTGGAGGTTCCCCGCAGTCCCCATGGCTAGTAGCCATGGAGAGACTTATCCTCCATGAATCTAACTAATCCCCGTTTTAAAGCTGTTTATTCCTGTGGCCATCACTGCATCCTCTGGCAGCAAATTCCCCATTTTGATCACTCTCTGTGAAAGGTAGTATTTCATTTAGTCCGTCCTGAACCCACTGCCCATCAGCTTCATTGGATGCCCTGGAGTTCTAGTCTTTTGGGAGAGGGAGAAAAAGTTCTCTTTGCCAGCTCTTTCCACCCCACGCATCGTTTTATAAACCTCTCTCATGTGCCCCCTTAGTTGTCTCTTTTCTAAACTGAAAAGAAGTCCCAGAGTCTTCCGCCTTTCCTCCAGGAGCTCCAACCCCCTACTCATCCTGGTTGCCCTCCTCTGTACTTTTCCCAGCTCTACAATGCTTTTTGGGGGACATCGTCAATCAATAATCCAAACAAGAAAAATAGACCTCCTAGTACTAAGACAAAGAACAAGCAACGAACTGGGGAAAAGGGGTAGAAAACCCACTAAAACACTTAGATATGTACGCAAATACAGTCACTTATATATTTAGATACTATATCAAAATTTATATGCAAGGCATATTAGCCATAACAATACAATATCTCAGTGCTATATAATAGAACAATACAAATTGCGATGTTGCTAGCCAGAACCATCATTAGGATACTGCTAATCCATTACAGTTAAGTTTTTTACAAGTTCAAGTTTCAAGTTAAGTTCAAGTTTCCAGGTTACAAAGCTTTTGCTTGGTTTTGTGTCAAAACGTCATCAGAAGCTGAACAACTTACATTGTGTCATAATATTTGATAGTTTGAAATTGCACCTTTCTGATTTCTAGAAGCACCTTCTTCTCAAGGGTTACTACAATTAGTATTGGGACTAGCCCTCAATTCCCATGAAGACTTCTCATGTCTCCTTGGCTTTCTTGGCTTCACAGCTTAACAGTATACAGACAGGTCCATTATGAGACGTCTTCATGGGACGTTTTGACACAAAACCACGCAAAAGCCGGCTGCTTTGTAAACTTGAAACTTGAAAACTTGAACTTGTAAAAAACTTACCTGTAATGGATTAGCAATATTCTAATGATTGTTCTGGCTAGCAACATTGCAATTTGTATTGTTCTATTATATAGCACTGAGATTATGAGGAATTTCAGACAGACGATATAATCCGGAAGAGGAACGGTTCCCAAACGGTTTCTGGTCTGTCATTTCAGAAAGAACCGTTTTAGAACCGGTTCCCTATCAGAATATATTTGTAATTTCAGACACAAACGCTTCTGTCCCGTTTAGGAAACGGGGCTGAAGCGTTTTACCTGTCAACCGCTTCCAAGTAGTCTTCAGTTTCCTCTCCCAGTTCCGATGCGCTTTTTCCCGCCATTTTTCTCCTGCACGGGCGATCTCTACCTTTTTTTTTTTGAACGTTCGCTTTATAGCACTATAGTGCTATAATGGTATAATGCTATAACACAACAGCATCATATCAACCCCACTGGAATGCCTGGAGTGTTGTGTTATAGCACTATAGTGCTCTAAAGCAAACGTTGTTAAAAAAAAAAAGCAAGCTGGAAATCACCCGCGTGGGCGAAAAACGCGGGGGGAAAGTGGGAAAAAACGGTACAGTCTGAAATGGCAAACCGCTTCAGATCCAGCTCTTTACCGAAAGGGGAAAGCCATGTGTGAAATGGCAGCCCTATACCGGTTTACTCCACGACGGATCAAAAACTGCTTCAAAACGGGTTACAAAGGGTAATGTGAAATTCCTCATTGTATTGTTATGGCTAATATGCCTTGCATATACATTTTGTAAATGTTGATATAGTATCTAAATATATAAGTGACTGTATTTGCGTACATATCTAAGAGTTTTAGTGGGTTTTCTACCACTTTTACCCAGTTTGTTGCTTGTTTTTGGGGACATCAGCATGGATTAACGAGGAGTATTAAATAGCCTCTGGGCACTCAGGGTCTATCTACCTCTGAGTAGTAAATACTGAGGACGGGTGGTAAACGCTCTACTCCCCATCTGTGGCTTTTCTGGAAACACCCGGTTGGCCGATGCTGGAAACGGGATGCTGAACTAGATAGACCTCCGCTTTCATCCAGATCAGCTGTTTGTTAACACCTGTTAGACGTAAGTGCTGGATGAAACCTCCACATTCAGAAGCAGTCTACCTCTGAAATACCAGAGGCGGGGAGACACGATCAGCAGAAGACTTTTCTTTTTCTTTTAAGGTAAAATAAAGTTGTATTCTACTTTTCTAAACACAGAAGAAGCCGTTTTGAAGCTTTTAACCTGGCATGGCTTTTTAAAAAAGAAGTCAGGAAAAAGAAAGAGGTCCAGCCGGGTACCTTCTGAGCGGTCACTTCCTTCTGTATTTGACTCTGCCGGAGCTTTTTCAACAGCACCAGTTTCGCCTCTTCTAACCGCAGCTCCTCCTTCAGCTGCTTGATCATTCGCTCGCGCTCTTCTGGGCTGCTTTTCTACGGGGCCGGGTGAGAGGAAGGAAGGAAGGAAGGGGGAGCGGGGGAGCGGAAGAGAAGAAGAAAGAGTAAGGCTTCCTTTCAGTGCAGGGCAGCAAGGGAGGACGGAGAGAATGAAGCGCGGGAGTCGGGAAGAAAGTACAGAGCAAGCGTCGGGCCCAGTGCCACCTTAAAAGCTGAGATTTCCCAGTGCACAAGCTTTTGAGAGTCAAAAGCACCCTTCATGGAAACGTAGAGTTGGAAGGGATACCCCAGGGGTCATCTAGTCCACCCTGCCTGCACAAGGCAGGAAATCCACAGCTACCCAAATCCCACCAGTGACCCCTGCTCCGTGCCAAGAGGAAGGCCAAAAGCCCCAGGACGCCTGGGTCAATCTGGCCTGGAGGAAAATGCTTTCCTGACCCCAAAGTCAGGGGTTATCCTGTTATCCCCTGAACACCCCCTCCCGCCAAAAAAAAGGTGCAGTGGTTTTCTCCCTAATATGGTGGGTGAAAGCAGGGCCTTGGGGGCGGGGGGTTTCCGGCAGGGCCATTGGTCCGGGGCCTCACATTCTCAGGAGGCCTCAGATTTACACTTTTGACGTGAAGTCACATGTTAAATAAAAATGGGAACATGTATTGCAAAGCCTTCTTTTTCTTGACTGTATTAAAGGTAAACATTTAAAATACAATACTGCTAATTTTGGATCGTTGTTTTTGCACTTCTTCCTTTTTTAATTTGCTGGGGGGGGGCGTCCCCCTCAAAAATGGAAGTGGCCCGGGCCTCTCTTGACCTTTGTGAGGGTCTGGGTAACCGTGTTGGTCGGCACTACAAGAACAAGGTCTGAGTCCAGGAGCACCTGAAAGGCCAACCTGATTTTCCAGGGGACGGGCCTGCGAGAGTCAGAGTCCCCTTCGTCAGATACAAGCAGGACAGAAGATCCCCAAGTCCCTTACATTCACCATCCATATCCGGGATCTCCATGCCTGCTTGTATCGGACTAAGCAAACTTTGACTCTCAAAAGCCCGTCTCTTGGACAATCCGGTTGCTCTTTAAGCTGTTACTGGACTTAAACCCCGCTCTGCTACTGCAAACCGACACCATTACCCACCTGAAAGCATATAAGAGAGAAAATATCTCCGCCTTTCGGGGTGGGGTTCAAGAGATCACACATGGCAAGGGGGGGAAAGTAGGGTCATTTCCAGGACAAGGTTCCCAAGCCCGGGCGAAGGTGGAGAATGAAGGGCAGGGAAGACTCCGCGAAGGGAAGGGGACGTTTAGAAGGCAGGGTCCAAAGATTCTGGACTGGGTCCAGCATGGGAAAGGTCACAAAGGGGTTGAGCAGCCAGAGAGACGAGTGATGTCCAGCAGTGGGCTTTTTGGGCCACAACGCGACGCACACGGGCCAGGAAGGTTTCAGGAAACAAGCACAGCACGAACCAAAAGTTTCACAGAGACCATCAGTGGTTCGTTCTCGTGGTCCTTCCTTACACACCCACTTTGGCATCAGGAAGCCATTTTTCTCCAGGTCAGATTGGCCGGGGATCCTGGAGGGATTTTGTCATCTTCTGGGCATGGAGCAGGGGTCACTGGGGGTGGGGGGAAGAGATTTGTGAATTTGTTGCATTGTGCAGGGGGTTGGACTAGATGACCCTGGAGATCCCTTCCTAGGGAGGCCAGGCTAGCTGCTACTAGGGCCGGGGCCTTTTCGGTGGCGACCCCTACCTGGTGGAATGAGCTCCTGGAGGAGATCAGGGCCCTGAGGGACCTTATGCAGTTCCGCAGGGCCTGCAAGACGGAGCTCTTCCGCCAGGCATACAATTAGGGGCCGCCGCCACCGTAGTGCACGGCCCGCAATGTCATCATCGAGCAGCTTCCATAAAAGTGGATGAGCAGAATAACATCTAAGCACTTCCATCTGACTGAATTTTTAACTGCTGCTAGCACTCTGTAATGTATTATTTTAACTGTGATGTTTTAATTACGTATTATGTATGTTTTTATTTTGTACTGATGTTATTGGAAGCCCCTCTGAGCCTGCTTTGCGGGGAGGGCGGGGTATAAATTCGACAATACATAAATAAAAATAAATAAATTCTATGATTCTCCAACAGGGCGGGTGTTTTGGCTTTCTGGACAGGGAAAGCCGCAATGTGAAACGCTGTGGCGGATTGAACGTGGGAGAGCAAAGAAAGGGAAGGATGGGACAGGCTGCCGGCCGGGCCGAGAGACGCCACTGAACATTTACATTCTCCGGAATATCCCGTGGAAGGAGAAACGGGTGGTACAGCTCTCCCCCTCGGGAAGCTGGAATCCGACTCACCATCAACGCCTCCGCACTGGTCTCCTTGATCGCTATTTTCGTCAGCCCATTCATTCTGGGACTCGACGGCTCGTTGTCCGAGAGGACTATTACATCCGGCGACGGGACTCTCCGCTCTCGCTTGACGTCACTGCAGGGGGACCAGAAGAGAAAGAACATCAGAGCGGCATCCGCCAACCAGCAAGTGTAGAAATAATCCGTTTCGAGTCCGAGCATTCCCTCCTGGCTTCTGCGAGCAGTGCCTTCGCTGAACTGAACCAAAGAATCATCCCGAAAGGCAAATCACACACAGTTTCTCGATTTGCACACCGTATCCAGGTCTCCTTGGTGGAGAGCAGTGTTCCCTCTAAACTTAGTGTGAGCTAGCTCACATTTTTTTTAGCCTCCGGCTCACACATTTTTGCCTTAGCTCAGGAAGGAGTGCTCCAGAGCAAACTAATTTATGCAGTAGCCAAATCGCTCGCTCAAAACTTTAATGCCAGGAGCTTACAAAGTAGAATTTTTGCTCACAGGACTCCACAGCTTAGAGGGAGCCACTGGTGGAGAGTTCTGATTACTTGGATGCAGTCATCTGCATCTTGAAATTTTTTTTAGCACAGACGACAGAGACAGGTTTCTTCGTAAAGCCCTGCAGGGCAGGGAAGCCACTAGAAATTTCTACATTTAATCCCTGAGGATTCACGAAGCGTATACAAAGGAGCCAAGCACGAACACAGATTCCGCTCACCCCAAGAAAGGCTTCTTTCACTTGCCGGGAGCCCCCCAAAGATTCAGACCGATGGTTTTCCCTAGCCCTTTTGAGCCAGACATTGCGGGGATTAAAGCAGGGACCTTCGGAGTGCAACATCCCAAGCATACCACTGACGGCGTCCAGCCAAAGTAGGCCTCTTACACGTTCACAAATGCTACAGAGAACGGTGTTTGGCTTTGCACAAAACTGTTAACACACAGGTCCACGGGCCGCACGCTGCCAGGAAGATCCATGTTGTGCAGCCCAACCCTTTGCGGAGATCGGATCATTGGCTCTCACCACCCTGGAGTTGGCATCCTGATCCACCTTTCCTCCACCACCACCCCCACGGGAATCCTCGTTATCGCTTCCCTGCTGGGACCTGGCAAGAGGATTCCCGGGTGGAAGGAGTCCCGGTCCAGAAAGCGGAGGCGGCATTCTGCCCCCACCACTTCCGGGAACTTCCCCCATGGCAGCAAGGCCCTGGGATGCAATGGCGGAAATCCCCTGCCCGATGGTGAGAGGGCTACCTTTCAGCCAAGAAAGGAGTTGGAAGGCTGCATCCTGATTCCCCCTCCCCAACGGTTATGTGGGCAATAAGGGGTCCAGGCAACATCGGGGTGTGTGTGTGTCATCCACTGTGCCCCAATGGAGATCCCCAAAGGCCAATCTTGACAGCTTGAGTTGTGTGCCTTTTGCCATACCCAGGGGTACAATGTGGCACCCCCAAGTGGCCATTTAAAAAACAAAAACAAAAACATTCATTAGACACCTTTCTCCCTGGCAGAACCCAAGACGGTTTGCGATATAACTAGAAGGTTATTATAAAACGCGATGAAAGCAATTATAAATGCACAATAAAAAGCCAACAGTTTTAAAATTCCAACTAGGACTGCCAATAAAGAGAACTGGAGCAATCAAATGCCGTCCTAATTAAAAATGGTCTTCAGCTGCCTCTGCAGATTGACAAGGAGGGGAGCCAGTGCACCTCCCTGGGAAGGTTATGCCATAAGAAAGTAAGAGGCCCATGGCCCATCCAGTCCAACTCTTTGTCACACAGTGGCCAAAAATACCAGGTGCCATCAGGAGGTCCAGCAGTGGGGCCAGGGCACTAGAAGCCCTCCCACTGTTGCCCCCCCCCCAGCACCAAGAACACAGAGCATCCCTTGCCCCAGACTGAGAGTCCCTATCTATACCTTGTGGCTAAGAGCCCCTGATGGACCTCTGCTCCATATGCTTATTCATAAGAACATAAGAGAAGCCAATGTTGGATCAGGCCCATGGCCCAACTAGTCCAACACTCTGTCACACAGTGGCCAAAAATACCAAGTGCCATCAAGAGGTCCACCAGTGGGGCCAGGGCACTAGAAGCCCTCCCACTGTTGACCCCCCCCCCAAAGCACCAAGAATACAGAGCATCCCTTGGGTTAGTCTGGACCATCCAGGTCACGGAAATACACATATTTTATGTGTATACATGTATTATACACGTATTATATGTGGTTTCATGGTACCCTTAACTGACTTCTTTATTTTTGGGAGGGGGGGACTTAATCCAGCATTTAAAATTTAAAATTTATGGGGAGACCAGTGCCACAGGACAGTGGTGATCTTTTAAAACCATATTCTCTCGTTGCCATTTTCCCTTCCAAAATCAAATTGATTAGGTTTTAATTATTTAATGTAGTAGAGATGGGACTATAAAGAGTTCCCCCTTTTTTGATTATTCATATTTCTCTGGTTTTTATAGATTTATTCTTAAGTAATATTTTATGAGAATGTTAGAAAGGCTTGTTATATAGAAGGCTTTCCTCTTGTAGGTCTGATATTGTTAGCCGACAACATAATAGGTACAAAGTTCATGATTCTGCAGTTCTTAAGGGCAAAACCTTGCAATGTCTGGGTCAGAGACGATTTTAGTCTCGTATCAGTAAAAAATACTTTTGTTTAGGATATGAAGAATCCTTGCCCATTATCATTTAGGTTAGGTTAAGTAAACACTTAGGTTTTACTTAGATTGACGTAGACATATGTTTCTTTACATCTGGCCAATCAAAGGATTATTACTCAAATTACCACTGTCTTTTGTAACCAATTATGCTTTTTGAATATTGTTTTCTTGATGTCAGTCCATGTATAAAATATCATGTATTTCCTGAATATGTTCAGAATATGTTCAAGAAGAAGAAGAAGAAAAAGAAGAAAGTTGTCAATTGTTGATGAGTTATTGGGTCCAATGGTTTTTCCTGTTAATTGAAGCATATTCCCTGAATATGCTGAGAAGAAAGTAGTCAATTTTGGATGGACTATTTGGTCCAACTGTTTTCTTGTTAACTGAAATAAAACATAGATCTCCCTCCTCATTTGACTTCATTTTTGACATGGAATCTAATATGTACAACATATGCTTATCCAAAAACTTCTTGAAGCCGTCCATGCTTGTCGCTGCCGCCACCTCCTGTGGCAGTGAATCCCAGGTGTTAACCACTCTTTGGGTGAAGAACTGTGGGGCTGCCACTGAATAGGCCCCGTCTCATGTAACCACCCAGACAAACATCTCTGATTGGTGGCACATTCAGGTGGCACACTCTCCCTGTGATCTTAATTCCCGGGCAGGGAGGTACCGGTGAAGACAGTCCTTCAGATACCCTGGCCCCCAAGCCACGTAGAGTTTTGCCATGACATACAGGATTTCTGCAAGCTGTTAACAATTCAGACGATTCCTACTACTGACCACCGTCCATATACCTCTGAGCCACAGGGGCAATCCCACACAGGAGGATGGTGGCCTGCTTCCAGGCTTCCAGATTGCTGGCCACGGGTGCTAGACGGTGTTCCCTCTAAGCTGAGTTAGCGTGAGCTAGCTCACAATTTTTTAGTCTCCGGCTCAGAGCTCAGGAAGGTGGGCTCCGGAGCAAACTGATTTATGCAGCAGCCAAAGCGCTCGCTCACAACGTTAATGCCAGTAGTAGCGCGCAAAGCAGAATTTTTGCTCACAAGACTCCACAGCTTAGAGGGAGCATTGACCTCTAGTCCAATCCAGTAAGGTGGTTCTTAAAACTCTAAGTGATACGAAGCATGTGACCAGAGGACACTGCCCCAAGGGGCCTGGATGGGTGGAAGGGCTCAAAGGAGGTGGGCTGGTGGAAAGGAGACCCCTCCACACACACACACACTGGAAGCACCAAACTGACAGCAAGTTTCACACACTGACCAGTATAAGAGGAAGGAACAGGAGAGGCAGCTGTAATTCTTCGTGGTGCCTCTAGAGGGCACGCCAACATAAACTAACTAGTTTGGGAAGTTTGAAGCCTGCTGAGAGGAAAGGGGGTCCCATTCTTAAACTGCCCCAAACCCACGGGTAGGTGAGGGGGCGAGGAGGTTAAGGAAGCAAGCATACTGCACAGGACTTAAAACCAAAACATGGCCTGTGTCAGACATACCCTTGTCAGAGTACTGGGCCAGAGAGAGACTTTTTGCTTTACGTGCATTTTGCTTTACTTGCATTCAGAATCCCTTTCCAAAAGTTTGGGGCTCGCTGCAGAACACGAGCGCACCGTTCTGGCAACCCGATCCAACAGACAACAGCAATTCAGGGACACTGGGTTTTATGGACCACATTTCTGTAGGGATTTCCCAGGGACGTCTGCCCCCACACCCCCATACATACACGCGACCTCAAAACAGACTGGATTTTGCTCTGGTCAGGTACAACAAGGACCTCGACTCTGGAAAGCAAACATCGGCTCTGAGACACGTTTTACACCCATACTGAGAAATGGGTGCAGGCAATGAATGGGTGCAGGCTTCCCGAGGAGTTCGGGGAGGTCTCCTAGTGCCATTTCAAAGCAAACGCACGGTGTTCTCCATGCATGCACGCACAAAGTTCTAAGCGGGGTTTTTTTTGGGGTGGTGGTGGTGATTCATTACCAGAAACAAGCAGCTGGGGCTTCCTTTGGCACCCAGCTCTGCAGTAGACGGTACCGTTTTCCCGAAAATAAGACCTTCCCAAAAAATAAGCCCTAGCAGGATTTCTGTGCATTTGTGGTATAAGCCCTAGTGTGTCTTCTTGAGAAAAAATAAGTATAAGACAGTGTCTTATTTTCGGGGAAACACGGTAGTATCCTGCCTTCGTCCTCTTGGCAATTAAAAAAAAAAATCTAGCACACACTGGATAACACCTTCATTAGCGGTGGGAGGAGGAGGAGAAATATCTGTTTCCAGCACGGGATCCGACTGGGCAAATTCAGACCCAGCCATGCTTCCAGAACGATGCCACAAACAACAAACCAACTTTGCAGAGCGGACAAGGCATCAAGGCAACCCATCCGGCCCCAGAAGTGCCAGCAGGTTGCCCAAGAGGTCCCTCCAGGGCTAGCCCCTCCCACTGTCCCCGCCCC